TATATATTTATATTTATATTTATATTTATATTTATATATTTATAATTTTTAAATATGTTTCTATTGATTTTTTAAAAATATATCATTATTGATTTCAGAGAAAGGGAGAGAGAGAGAGAGAGAGAGAGAGAAACATCAATGATGAGAGTCATTGATCGGCTGCCTCCCGCACGCTCCTGACTGGGGATGGAGCCCGCAACCCAGGCATGTGCCCTGACCAGGAACCGAACCGCAACCTCCTGGATCCTAGGTCGATGCCCAACCACTGAGCCATGCCCAGCTGGTCTGTTTCTACTGGTTTTAGAGTGAAAGGAAGGGAGAGGGAAAAATTGAAATATCAATGAGAGAGAAACATGGACCGGCAGCCTCGTGCACGCCCCCTACTGGGGATCGAGCCCGCAACCCAGGCGTGTGCCTTGACCGGGGATCCAACTGGTGACCCCTTGGTGCATGGGGCATTGCTCATCCAACTGAGCCACACCAGCCAGGCTGCTGGGACCATTAGAGCCCGAGGGGAGGCAGAAGGGAAGGTGGAAGAGGGAAATTGGGAAAAAAGAAGACAAAAGGGGAGATCATGAGGATGGTGGGAGGTTTTGCCTGTCAGCCATTCACTTCCCCTACCTTTGGGGGCCCTGCCTGTACTCACACCTTGAAGGTTAAGACCCCAAAGGTTTGTCTTAATTACTTTTGCTTTTGGAGTCCAAAACGTAGCATCTTCCAGCGAGTCCGACGCTCTAGGAACCCGAACCCTATGTCGATGGCTTCAAGGGTGCACACAAAGACTGTGAATTCGGCCTCCACCCGTGGGGTGGTTGAAAGTGATACTGAGCTCATTTGGGGGAGAAAATCGGTTTTAGGGCAAATGGCACAGGTGATCATTTTTGACTCTCACCGTTTCCGTTAATAATCTAAACCCTCTTAGCTCCTTGCAGTCCTGAAATAAAAAGCGTCTCGAAGGATGCCTCCTCCGCGGTCCACGTGCACTGGAGATCCAGTAACGAGGGCGCTACCTACACGGTGACGGCGAGGGGAGGGGGGGAGCTGTACCGGTGCAGCAGCGCCGGCCGGTCCTGTGCCCTCGGGGGCCTGCCCTGCGGCTCCGTGTTCTCCGTCACCGCGGTGGCCGAGACGCGGGCCGGCCGGAGCCTGCCCAGCTATAGCGTGCCCCTGGAAACCGGTAAGTGGCAGCCACCAGCTTTGGACATTATTTTCTCTTATAGGACAACGACAGAAGGCACTTGGGACTATAAAAGTTGAAACGTAAGAAGCCGCAGGATAGAGATGACTCTAAATACATTAAGAAGACTCTAGATATCCCGCTATGCTATACAGCGGGTCCCTAAAAAACTGAGGCTCGGCTGTGGTATTTGTAGGTGGCGAGGAATGTTTCTAGCTTTTGTACCAATTATATGCTATGAAATGCATGAGAAACGCAAAAAAAAACTTAATTACGAATGCTGTGAAATTGGGGAAGAATGTTATATCGGGAGAAGGGGGTGCACGCAACTGCTGCTTTGGAATTTGCAACTGGAGTCGTTAGAGTTGGGGGACAACAAAGGGTCTTCTTATTCTGGAAACAATGGGGGGACCTCGTATTACCCACAGCCAGTCAGGGCATCGTGTTCTTGGGGAAAGTGCCCATCATGCATTCAGTTGATGTTAAATGATTCGTGAGAGGAAATGAGGTTTTGCTTAACAAAAGGAAATTTTTATTAACACTGAAGGTTTGAGCAATGTAGGCTATTGAATGAGACACAGGCAAAATACCGCTCTTGGTCATTTTTCACAAATAACCCTGTTACATTCTGTTTTCCCTCGCTTCAGTGCCCTGCTGTCCAGCCAGTCTGACAGTGACGCAGGTCACCCAATCAGTCATCAACGTGAGCTGGACTGTTGGCACCGGGGCCCTAACCTATGTTACAGTTCTGGAGTCCCACACTGGACAGTCTAAGTGTCACACCCATCAAAACCACTGCCTCCTGGGATGCATCACTTGTGGCGTCAATTACACGGTGGCCCTAAAAGCAGTCAGCGCCACCGGGCTGACTGCAGACTGCACCTACCGACCCTATGCTTCTAGTAAGTGAATTCCCCCTCGGGCTCTACGGTCTCGCTCAAGGCCTTGCCTGTCCATCGCAAATCCAGGCATAAACCCTTCCTTCTGGTTGAAAAAAGATGCTGTCTCTCCTGGGAAAGAGTTTAACGATCAGTTTGTCGGGCCTGTCGCAGGACACGGGACAGGAGAGCTGAAATATAGTTTTGCCATCCCAGGGGTAGTAGAAAGAGTGTGAAACTAGGAGTCTAAAGACGTGGCTTCTTAGAAGCTGGGTTGCCTTATCCCCCCGGTTTTGTTTCCTCACTGGGAAGAGAGAGAGAAGTAATCATACCATGAGAGCATTTATAGTAAGCCGGTTTATGCCGTCTTCTGGCCCACTATCTTTCTTTAGATTTGCTGCCTAAGTTCTCAGCCTGATATCCAGTTCTGGGAATGTGGTCCTTTGCTTAGCTTCACACACATACACCCCAAAATTGTTTTAAGAATAAATCCAGTGGGCCTGATGATCTATAACTGATTTTTTATTAATATTATTATACAACAAAATCTTTATTTTAGTTACCGAGGAAGCCACCATCTGGTGCCCTGCTTGACACCTAACGTGTGACCCACTCGAGGCATTTGGAAAAAGAGAAAAAAAGCACCTAGTCAGCCAGCGCGGGGGAAGTGTGACTGGCAGGGCTCGGTCGCCTGCCTGTTGTGTAAGCGGCGGCTCCCCTGGCATCACGCTGCTCAGCTCAGCCCCATAGGTCTTCTCGATTAAAGCCGAAGGCAGTCGATGATATTTAAATTCAGTCCCACTAGAATCATGTGAAACTAGGATAATGGGAGGGCTCTTGACGAGGATTCTGTACATTTGACTCATAAGTTTTAACTCAGGTACAACATGTATCTGTCAAGTGTGACTGTTTGACTCACCATTGCTATTAATAAACCATGCACAGCCCGGCTGGGCCTGGCTCAGCAGTTGAGCGTCGACCTGGGATCCAGGCGATCGGGGTTCGATTCCCAGTCAGGGCACATGCCCGGGTTGTGGGCTCGATCAATGACTCTCTCATCATTGATGTTTCTATCTCTTTCTCTCCCTCTCCTTTCCTCTCTCTGAAATCAATAAAGATATATTTGAAAATAATAATAATACTCCATGCACACCCTGGCCAGTGTGCTCCATTGGTTGGGTGTTGTCCTTTGTATGGAGAGGTCGCTGGTTCGATTCCCGGTCAGGGCACATGCCCAGGTTGCAGGCTCATCCCCAGTAGGGCACGTGCAGGAGGCAGCTGATCAATGTTTCTCTTTCTCCGTCACTTCCTCTCTCTAAAATCAATAAAAAACATATTTAATAAAAGATCCATGCCCCTCACACACTTGGATTTATTTTCTTTTTTTTCCTTTCTTTTCTTATGTCTTTTTACAGCCTCGCGCGTTTCCTTCGCTGTGTTTACGTGTGGGTTTCTGATCATGTCGCCCACCGAGGAAAGAACCGAGTCCCTCTTCAAATCTTGCTCTCTTCATGTGTTATTTAGAATAGGTGGCTTATATTGTTCCCCCGTAGTGATAAAGGCCATGTCTGCGTGATGGGGAGTAAGTGGTCCGTGTCTGGTTTTGATCTTCCAGGTGCCTGCTGCCCGCTGGGGGTGAAGTTGTATAGGCTGGGCCCTAATGGCATCCGGATCGACTGGCAGGCCGCCAGGGGCTCTGCCAACTACAGCACTGACCTCTACGGCTCCAAGGGCATTTTCACCTGTTCCCCAAGCTCCGGCCTCAGTTTCTGTGACGTCGCTGAGATACCCTGTGGGGACGTATACACCGTGATGGTCTCACCGGTGGCTGAGACAGGACTGAAGCTCACCTTCTGTCCGAAAAAAATATATTCAGGTAGAGCAAGTTATGACCCTTTATTTAAATAAAACTAACCCTCACGCCAATCTATGAATGGAGACTCAGAGCAGTCACCCTCACCTGAGGGAAGGGAGATCAAAGAGGGTACGACATTTCTACACCCCGCAGGCAGATTCTGGCTGCTGGGGACCCCCTGGCTTCTTGGGACTCGTGATGCTTTATTATTATTTGACTTGGAGACACTCTGTCTTCCCTCTCTGTCTCTTCTCCTTCAGGTAAAGGACCAGATGCTCGCTGCTTAAATAGTAAAACTGATTTAAAGATTCTTTTTTATTGATTTTTAGAGAGAGAGGAAGGGAGAGGGAGAGAGAGAAACATCGCTGTGAGAGCGAAACATTGATCAGCTGCCTCCTGCACACATCTTACCGGGGACGGAGCCTGCAACCCAGGCATGTGCCCTGACCGGGAATCAAACCAGCAGCCTTTTGGTGAACTGGGTGATGCCCAACCAACCGAGCCACACCAGGGCAGGGATAGATTTTTAACACAGTCTTAGAGATAATGATGGACACCTTGGAATGTTGGAAATTAAGATACTTAAACTTTTATTTGCACAGATTCAGACTTATGACTGAGGAAGAGTTGGGGAATCAGAAAAAAAACCCATAAGAATTTATAAATCCTAAGTTGGGTTTGGCAATATGTGATCAAAAATCATGACCGTCAGCGAGTGCCATCTCACCAGAGCTGGCAGCAAAGCGCTAGCAATTCCCTGCTCTGTATTCCAGCACCGACCTTCTGCTCCCTCGCCCAGGGCGTAGTCATGTATTTTTCTTTAAAAAAGAAAAGAGATGATGAAGCCTTCGAACACAGGAAGAGGGATAAATATTGGCTCAGAAATCTTCACGGATAACCAGAATCTGAAATTTCCCATTACGTGTAGGTGGCAAGAAGGTTCGAGAGGGCTCCCGGAGGTGGAGCCAGGCCAGTTCCTCCTCGGGGGGCGTTCTCGCCATCCTCGGCTGTCATGCTTCGATTCTTTATTTTTTCATTATCTCGTCCACAGGACAAGCTGGCCCAAAGCATGGCCCTCTGGGAAGGCACAGGAATAGGTTGTTGGGGTGTGTGGATGAGCCTTAGGAAGAAGAGGCCACTGCTCATAACATATCTGCATAATGTTTTACAATTAATCAAGTGTTTTAAAATGTATCAAGTGTTTTCACTTTCAGTATTTCATTGAATGCTCAAAAAATATCTTGTTGAATGCTCCGTTTCCCTGGTAAAAACCATGCATTTGGGGGAAATTTTTTGGTTTTTTGTGTGTGTGTTTTTCACTGTCGGTGATGCCTTACTCTGATAACTAGGACATTATTGTAAACGACTAATGCCTGTTATTTATTGAGTGCTACGTGCGGCCACTATTACAAGGGTTTACGTGTATTAATTGATTCCTATAATAACCCTATGAAGTTGGCATTCTTCTTCTTACCACTTATAGGTAAACTGAGGCACAGAGTAATGAAGTGACTTGCTCAAGGTCATATTGCTAGGAGCTATGTCCTTCTCCTGTCACCCAAACTGGTTCTTATTTATTCCCTGGTTTACTTTCCCTTTATTCTTTCTTAAGTTTTATCTTTATCATCTTAAATATGTCAATAAGTATATTTGAAATGCTGTGTTTTTACTTATTGCAGTCACCTGCTCTGGAAGTACGCTTGGAATGGGTAAGTCGTTTTTCTCATGGATGAAATAGAAGATTTTCTTGTTGCCTTTTAGGGTGACAGCGAAGTCAGGATCAAAGCTGACCCTTCAATTAGTCAGGAAGGCAAATGCTGGGGTATTTGCTTCTTGTTTGCATGGACAGATGTGCCCAGTGGAGGAAAAGGGTTGCTGAGAGGGAGACTGGGATCAAGATAACTCTCTCTTTTTTTTTTTTAATCCTCATGTGAGGATATTTATCCCATTGCTTTTCAGAGAGAGTGTGGGGGGAAGACACAAAGAGATTGATTGGTTGCCTCCAGCATGCACCCTGACCAGGGGCGGAGCCTGCAATGGAGGTAAATGCCCTTGACCAGAATCGAATCTGAGACCCTTCAGTCTGAGGGCCGACGCTTTAAGCGCTGAGCAAAACTGGCTAGGGCCCAGCAATCTTTGTTTTAACGAGCCTGCCATGAGATTCTGAGGCATGCTAAGGTTTGAGAACCACGGCTCTAATTCAAGGAAGCTGCTTGGGTGCTGGAAACTTGATGCAGGTTGGAGGGAGGGGGCAAACGATCTGTTTGAGGTGACAGGGCTCTAACCAGAGGTAGACTGCAGGGCTGTGCCTGCCATCACTCTGTGGGATGTCCACCGTCTTCAGCACCCCGCTGCCTCAGGGTCTCCTACACATTCCAGGGAACTTTGGGGACATTTCCTCTTCACAACTATCCTCCGCAATTGATTTTTATTTTCTCTACACCACGTTTTCCAAGAACCATTACAATTTTGGAGCTCCCGGAGAACACAGCAGTTGGTCTGGGGTGGAGAGGAAAGTTCTTTGTCCTGGGTCCATAGTCTGAGTTCAGAGTTCTTTGGGAGTGCTCATTTCATGAAGCAAGACCGAGGTCCCCCTGGTTAGTTAGGCTCTGCTAGTCAGGGCCTCTTGCCCTTTGAATAGTTCAGGCTCTTAATGGCCGGCTTCCTTCGCTTGAAATAGCATTTCAGATAAAAATGCTAATCTAAATCTCAGAGAGGTTTGAGGGCTTTTTATTTAAGAAAATGTCTTCATATTTCATGCATCTTGTGCCATCTCGCCTCCCTTGTCCTTCTCAGTGATCTACAGAGGGAAGAGAAATGCAGATTGACAGAGTGAGCCAGGGTGACCACGGAAACTTGACCTAGTGAGTAATTTGAATTGACGTGGTGTGACTCAAAGGTAAAGATTTTTGTCTTTGTTTTTCAAAATTCTTCTCATACCTTTTGCAGGGTTGTCTCAGATGTTAGTGTGCCTAGAGATGGACAAGCTCTATTAGCCTACATGATGCTTCTAGGATAGGACAAGCTCTTTAGAAGAATGACTTTGACCCCACTTCCAAGGGTGATGTCAGGTGTGTCGTCACCTGCATGGGACTTCAAGATGTGCTGCAGAGAGGACTCAGGAGAGACCTGGATCCAGAAAGTCCTCCGGAAGGCTCCCAGAGTAAGCTCCTGAGCTGGGCAAGTCCTGGATACATGAAATATCTGCTTAGGATTTTTCACATGCAGATTCGCCATGGACTTCAACACATCTGCTTCTTAAGTGTTCCATCGACACCAGCACTGACCATATAGCCCTTTAACCATCCAAGGGCTGGAAAGATTCACTCCCAGAGAAAATCACATCAAGTCACCATACAGAAATGCCACTCATCCCCAAACAAACCACGAGGACTTCAGCGTAGGTTGGCTAGCAGCAGCTGCCAGGCCCACCCTGTCGTAACAAACACCCTCATCTCAAGTTGGAAGAAACCGAGCTGCTTGCAGGGTTCACCCAGCCAAAGCATCAGGCAGCATGACATCTGCTGGAGCACCTGGGAAAGCAGAGTTGTTGGCCTGTTGCTAGAAGGATCACAGCCATGCTTGTGAGTGTGCAAAGACTTTGGATGGAGAGACAGCCAGGGCCAGGACCTCGAACTGTGGCAGACTGACATATGTGCATCTTTGTGGGGAGGACCATCAGTTTTGGTGGCTGTATCCCCCAATCACATTGTAATCGTGTGTGTTTTTCATCTCTGGAAAGGCAGTAATTATATATAATATAAATCTGTTGTACCTAGAAAATTTTGTGTCCTTCAAATGCCAGTAAACTACCTATAAAATAGTACAAGTAGCATTTGTGTAACACACACACAACTACAGTGTTTATTCCCCTGAAGCATATCTGTGGAGCCAAGGACTGTAGTTAGGAACCACCACAGAATTCTGCCCGAAGGGAATTGGAGCATGGAGTTGGGCTTTGGGTAAACTGGAAGGGAGGGCAAACTTCCTTGTTTCAGTCTCCTTTCCCTTTCTGTGTAAGAATGATGAGAGATACATAACGTGCCATGGGTAAGAGGTACTCCCCAGAGCATCTGCACTTGCAAAGGAGACAAGCCATAGACCTCTAACAATGGAATTTGCAGCCTCAGCTGGCACACACAGAAGAGTGGTGAGTTTAGTTCACGTTTGTTCCAGTGAACGAACAGGGAACTCATTACTTAATACACCTCCCAGGTACCATATCCGGAGATTCTAACTCAGTAGGTCTGGGATCAGGCCTGCGAATCTCTAACTGTGACAAGCTCACCAGGTGATTCTGACTCCAAGTAGGGCCTCTTGTGTTGTTTTCAGCAATGCCATATGTTGTGCTTGAACCCACTTTATGGGCGATTTCATTTTTCATTTTGCTTTTCTCTCCTAAAGAGCAAACGCTGCCGGTTACCCCACAGACTGCTCTATTTGCTTTCGGTGTGACTCATCTGGTCTTTTTCCCCTACTCCACCACCTGCTGTGCCTCCCCACCAAGTGACTTAACTTCACTAGGTCTCAGTTTTCTTGTCTGGAAGGGTTGCTTTGGGGGCCAATGAGATAATCTGCTTACCACGGGTGCCTAGCCTAGAATAAGCACTCTGTAAATATCAGCATGATTATTAGCAGTAGTTAACAATTTCTGCTTCCCTAGGTGACCAACTCGAATTAAGACCGTTCCTTCTTTGCAGATCTCTGTAGTAAAGTCTACTTCCTGCGAATGTGTCACAGTTGGGGTGCTCAGCAGCTGCACCCACCTAACTCATGACCGATTGCTTTAACTCCAAGTCTCAAAACGAACCATCTCTGCAAACAGATCTCTGCCTAAAACTTTCTGAGCTCATGTGATGGCCTCTGGGAATCAGCTTTCAACAAGAATTCCCTTCTTTTGGATTCTAAAGCACTGACAGCCTCTCCCGTACCATTTGGCACATGCATTTCTGTCCAGCTGGTTATTGTTTTATTGGTTCCTTTACGCACATCATCATCATGAAGGCATTTATTTGCTTTTGAAACCAACTTTGGGCGACTTTCAGCAGGCCAGGAACTGAGCTCTCTCATTCGGCTCTAAATTCTTAAGAAATGGGCTTCCCGTGGCTGTGAGCTTCCCGACAGCCCCGCGCAGCTCCGGGCCCGCCGCGGGCGCAGCTCACAGCTCTGCACCATCACGAGGTCCTTGCAAAGAGTCAAGTACACCTGGACGGGGGTAAGTTTTCCGTCTGGTTGTTGAACCGGCTGCTGCGTGAAGCCCATCACGAACCGCTTCGCAAAGTGAAAAAATTCTTTTGCAAAGACGAAGAGTCCGGCCCGTCTCCGTGCACAGAACCCGCGAATTTAAACCTCGGCGACCCAGTCGGCCGACCAC